TCTTGAAGTAGTGTACCGAATTTAAACTTAATATCTTATCAATTACTCGAATTATTAAAAAAAATCAGTTTTAAATTTCAAACTTTGTCGCCCTGTATATCGAACATGAAGCTCTAAATTGAAAAATGGTATTATGAAAGTCTTATTGTTTTGACTTAAGGAATATATGGTTAACGGATTGACCTCCTTTTCCCGGACACCCTGTATGAAAAAAATTAGCTGTTCATATTAAACAGCCGAGACATGGAACGCATTTTAAAAACACGAAAAATTATTTACTTATAAAATTTATATTTAATATCGATTGAGTGAATTTATATTTTTTTTTTTACAAAAATGACATCTTAAAATTTAAAGTATCTTAAATAGAAAAAAAATTACAGCTTTAATTATTAAAGCATAAAAATGACCTTTTTAAAAAGTTTAAATTCGATTAGGCCGGATTTGACAAATGCGAAAAATATAATAAGGGTGGATTTTGTCCTTTGGGACCCTAATGAAATTTCTATAAAATTTGAGCAAATTCCAAGATGGTTGAGCAACGAGTTTCGGCGTATTCATATGGATTGACTCCGTTGTTAAAACCGGCTAAGGTAATCCCAATTTTGGAAACACATTTTTTCAAAATCCCACCTTAGTTGCAGAGATAACTAAGGTTGATTTTAACTTAATAAATAGGTTTCAAACCATTCTGCAAGCTATCACTACACAAAGCTTGATAGATACCAATAAGTTGGGAATGTTTGCTCAGTTGTTTGTGGAAATGTATCCATGGTACTACATGCCTGTAACTTATTTGTTATTTTCGAGTTGGCAACACTGGTGAAAAGTTTTCATAGAAAATCTTTAATATTTTATATTTGATTTTGTGCATCAGGCACACACAAGTAATTTCAGATTTTTTACAGCACAAATTTTAAGAAAATATTTTTATTTTTTATTTAAAGTTACATTGTTTTCATATGTCACAGTGTACCTTAAGAGCCTACCCAGGCAACACAGTGACGTGAATATCACGTTTAATTTACGTCTACGGTGACGTCGAAGTCACCAACTTAGACTCGTCTTATCGTCGTAAAATTGACGACAATATGTCACAGCGATTTCACGTGTAAAATCACGTAATATTACGTAATTATTTACGTAATTTGACGTGAATAATCACGTAATATTTCTTGAATAATATATGATTAGGTCATACACATAAAAATAATTACCGATACTGATATCAGATATTTCAATGCGAAATGTGATTTTGCAAAATTAAAAAAACAAAAACACATACATATGTCTGGCATATATCTGGCATTAAAATATCGGATATAAGAATAAATAATTATTTTTACCAGTGCATAAAGGGCTTTTGGATTATTAATTAATAGAACATGTTTTAAGTTGCTCAAAACATTTATTATAAAATCAAACACATTAAATTTTAAGACAGATGACAGGTCAATATTTTAGGAGCTTATGTAGGTACTTCATTTAGGTGTTATGACTTCGTTACGGAATATACTGAGTAATTAAAACATTAAGAAACAAACAAAAATTGACCTACCTGACACAGCCAAAGTATTATCAGTATAAATGGTTTCTTCTATGTATAAATGCCACAGATTATAAAAGTTGGACCCTTGAATCAACCATATTGTTTTTTAGGAATAAACGTTCCCTCGCTTTGTAAGTAGTGCCAACTTACCCAAGGCCAAAGAGAAACAGGGTTGCCAGGTGTAAAAATTAATATTATCGAAGAGGGTTGACAAAATGATCAAATTTACAGAAAATTATATAAAATTATCAAAACAAAAATTGTATAAAAACAAGCAAAACTACGCGGCGGATTAAATTATGTTACAATTATCGATTATTATTTAAATTTTACTATTTTAAAAAAGAAAATTATAAAACATCTGGCAACACTGTAGATAAATAATTTTACTAAAATTAAAATTGTGATTGTCAACTGCAGTAACATGTTAATTTCTTATTTTGTGATAAAATGATAAAGGATTTAAAAATCGCGAATTTGTTTTAAAAAATCTATTGATCAATAATTATTAATCTATCTTAATTAGTTTAAAACCAAATAATGTTTAAAATCATTTTAATAAAATATTGCACGTTGATTCTCCGACGAAATAACGTAAATTAAATAAAAATAATAATTTTTGTTTTTAAAAATATTCCAAAACTTTTTGTCGGCCCATTAAAACGGGCAAACTGTTTCTTATTAATTAATTATGAAAATATGAAAATATAGTGATAATTATCACTATATTTTCATATTTTCTTAAAAATTTCGTCATCTGTTCACGTGATAATGACGTCATTTATTGGTTATCATCGACCTAAGTTAATAATTGGTCGTGTTTTGATGAATTTTGAGACGTCGAAAAATGGTTGAAATGTAACTTCGACCAAATTCGACCCAATTCGTCGACGATTCTACGTGATTTCTACGACCCTGTGTTGCCTGGGTAGTAGGCTCTTAAGGTACACTGTGACATAGTGATGTCGTATTTCGAATTAAAATATTCGTTTAATCCGAGTTTTGAGATATTCGGATGCATCCGAATAATGAAATATTTTATGGAATCGGAATCGGATTCGGAATAATTTTGTATCCTCCTATGAAAAATCCGGTTTTTTTATCCTCGTTCGAGTGCTCGTCAAAGTTAGTCGCATCTTGCATCTTGCCGTCGCGCTCTTGAAACTTACAAACAGCAATGCTCGCGACTCGCGTGCGGGTGAGCTCTTGAAACGTAAAAGTTTAAAGTTGAAACCAACAATAATTAAAAAAAAAAAGGGGTGCGAACTGATAAGTGAAACAAACATTTTCATGGAGTGCAAGCTAAAATGGGGGTAACGGTCATTGAGGAGTGGAGTGTTGGGTGATATGAATGACTTGGGTGCCACCTGTCATTGGAGGCTTTTCACTGGACGGACGGGGGAGGTCGGAGAAGAGGGGAGGTGGCCATCCGCAAGGGGAAAAATCTGATAAGTTTTACTTTAAGAGTATGCATGACCTGATACAAATCTGCAATATAAACATTAACCATTAACATTGCCCGTATTCATTTCATTAAACATAACATTTATTTTACTTGAAAATGTTAAAATGACTTTAAAATATGATTATGTTAAGAACATATTTTACTCTTTAAACAATTGTTTTGTTTTTAATTACTATCATTGCAAAATTGTATTAAAAAGTGTTAAAAATTCTTACACGGGTAATGTTAATGGTGGGATATCTTTAAAACCTAAGAAGGGCACGCAGCGTGGGGCAATAAGTCTGTCAACAGCAAATGCGTAAGGCGGACCCAATCGAGCCGGAAAATAAACACTGGACTGACAGAGTAAACTAACATTGAACAAAATTCTAACACATTAAAAAAAAGGGCCTAATAGCCAAACTCGAGTTTGTAAACATTAGACAACAGAATAATCGCGCTTGTGATTTGTTTGACTAGTGAATAAATGCAATGCTTTGGAATTTGATAAACAAAGACGGAACTCTACCACAAAACGTGCTAGGGACAAAAATTATTAAAAACAACTGACACACTTTACCAAGGGCAGGAACTATCTGACCAGGACACGGACAATGACAATAACGAACAAGACAAAGACATCGACTAGGAAACTACACCCCTGCAGCGAAATAACAACTCCCCAACTCCAAATAGTGATCCCAAATGTTTGGAGTAATACTAATCGACTGGTCTAGGGGGATTCCGCGTCGTACTTAGTTTTAAGTCGGCGTAATTGTCCCCCAAAAACCAACTCCCTCCCGTCCCTCATCCATACCCCATCGAGCGTATAGCATAGGCTCGGCGAACCCGGGAATGGCTATTATAACTATTCGCCTCTCGCTCTCGAGCCCCAAATAGGGGACAGTACGTAACGCAATGGACATTCGCACCCAGCAAACACGGGTGAAGCCGTGCAGTTGCTGGGGAAGAACAAAAATCGGCGTAAGTAAACATAGGCCTGTACGGGGTTCGAGAGTCAAGAGGAAATGGGGCTGGTTATACGTCTCTTATACTCATACTCATACTCCTATGAAAAATCCGGTTTCGGAATCCGAAATTCGGATGAATTGCATTCGGTATCAAAATTTATTGTTTATACCGTAGCCCTCTAGTTTTTACCAACCGAATTCGATGACGACTCATACGTTAAAAAAATGTAAACTAAATAGTTTAATGTCAACTACCAATAAGGAACACCATTTAAAATTATATTAGATATTAAATATATTTATTGCCTAATATTATTTACTTAACTTTTAATATATTAATAATAAAATGACAGTTTTAATTTAAAATTAGTTAATTAAATCAAATCGGTTTCGAGTTTAAAGGTATTAGCGCCCTCTTTGTTGAAATGCCGCGAGTGTCACTGCTACTGGCTTACTCGGAATTAAAAAATGTGAATTCGGAATAGGATGATTAATCCGAATATTGAAATATTCCGATTCCGGATAATCCGAATATCTAAATCATCCGAATATCTGCATCACTACTGTGACATATTGTAAGTTACAAGTGTGCCTATTTGTCCATACATTATTTCCTTTTTTCCAGTAAACTCCAAATGTTTGTTTTGTCTCACCCTAACCTTACTTACAAAAGTGAAGGCACATACAACTAATATAAACATAAAATCTGGTACACACATACATCAGCAGCGGGACCCAGAAAATTTTGACCAAGATACACAGAAAGAATCCAAATAAATCTACTGGTGACTGTTTAAAAGAGCCACAAAAGCTCAGACCAACTCCATTACTGAGGGAGAGGCTTATGGTACTCCGGACGTAGTGGATAAAGAATAGAGAGAGAGAAAGAGATTATTTCAAAAATTCTTAATGGATCATGTTATCAGCTTGTATACTGATTAATAAAGTATATTTTTAATGGAAATCTCAAAATGTACTAACTACCTTAATGTACCTACCTGGAGTCAATCAAAAATTAATCAAAAATATAACTTACAGCAAATATTCATATCTTTCTAAACACTGGGCTGCAGTTCTGCCAATTATTGGGGCTATAGTTCTCCATTGAGTTGGCATAAGTTTAGCCAAATGTAACAATTTTTCATCTTCCTCTCGTGACCATTCAGTTTTTTTGATGCTAGGATCTAACCACTCAAACCAACGTGCTTTACACTGTTTAGCGGATTTTCTATGTAGTAATGAAGCAATTCGAGACCACTGGTTTTTGCCATATTTCATTACAGCCGCTTTAAGGATTTCATCCTAAAAGAATCGTTTTTAAGCGAAATTTGGTTTAATAATAAATAACTTACCTCGGTATTGCGCCAAACGCCACCCTTTATCATAATTCGTGGCATCTTGAGGGCTTGGATTTGTTACAAAGATTAAAACACCACAAATACTATTTAAAAGACAAAAACAATTTCTTTGTAGGCACTTCACATAACCTACAAAAAATAATTTGTTTGGTTCTGTTGCCAACCCAAAGATTTTAGGTTACCTCCACTAATTACCTAGACTCACAATCCACACATTGTGCCTAGGCTCTAGGTAGAGTACACTTGAACACTTAAAACAAGTTATATCTCTGGGTTAACTAGAGTCTAGTTACTAGACAGTTATCGGACACTTTATAGCTTAGACCAGGTTCTTCCACCCTGGCTTAGACACAGAACATAAGGCTTAGAATAGGAACTTTTAAAGTTTCTATTTTGTGCATATGGTCACAATCCAATGGATTGTGCATATGGTCCCGGAAGGAAAAGGCCACAGAACATAAGGAAAAGGCCATTACAAAGAAGAAGAAGAAATTCTGTTTCAATTTTAGAAAAAGTATGTTTATTATAATTATAAATATAAAATGAGTGAAGGTTTAGCACACAGTTTAGCATTGATATCTTGTTCCACAAACGAATGGTAAAATACAATTCATAACCAAAATGTTTTTATTGACAATTTTTTTTCAGGACAGTGCCCTTTAAATGTGCTGTAAGTACTTGTCCAAATACTTATACAAACGCTGAAATATGTCCTACATCTTATAAGTTTCACAATTTCCCAAAAAATAAAGAAATTTGCAATCAGTGGATAAATAAATGTGATTTAGAAAAAGCTGCTGATGTCGAAAAATTAAAAGTTTGTACTGAACATTTTTCACATTCAGATTATGTTAAAGTAGAGGGTGTGGTCCCTCAGTTAAAACTGCATCAATATTCAGTTCCGCATAAAAATATAGTAATAGAAAATGGTTCTAAGCCTAATACAGCCCTAATAAATCAATTTGATGCCTTAAATTCTGAAATAGAGGAACTTAAATTAAAAATTTACAAAACAAATCGAATGCTATTAGCAAAAAAACACAAATTGTCAGTTATAAAATCAAAAATTTCACATTTAATGCAAAAACCAAACAGAGAATTGTCTACTATAACAAAAATATTTTCTGCAACTCAAATAAATTATTTAAGAGGCAGAAAAACATTTTGGAGTGATGATGATTTAGCTATGGCTTTTACTTTGAGGCATGTTGGGTCAAAAAAATTGTATCTATACTTACGTAATACTTTAAATATGCCATTGCCAGCTTTGTCTTGTGTGCAAAAATGGATGGCAAAAAGATGCTAAAAACAATTTTGAATGGAAAAATGTAATATATTTTTTTTAGACACAATGGACTGTGTTTTTGGTTGTGATATAAGGCCAAACACTCAGTTTTATTATTTTCCAAATGATTCAAAACTATGTAAGCAAAGGCTATCAGTCTGTGGATTTGATAAAAAAATAGACACAAAAAGAGGTAAAAAACAGTTTTTAGTTTTTTTGTATTAATCTTGACAATATAGCATGGTGGATTTTTAGGGTCAATTTTCGGATCATCAGGCAACCACGGTTTTTTTTTATAAATCGATTATACGCCTGTTATACCTAGACAAAAAAGGTTATTACCTTTTTTGTAGAATATTTATTATTCTTTATCTTTGTTAAAACAGAATTTTGATAAAATTGATACTTTTTGCAAAATAACCAAAAAAGTAAAATTAGACCCATTTATATTATATTTTTCTTAATAAATAACAAAAAAACCGAGAGATTTTTTTATTTTTGGTATTTTTTGTCTATAACAGGCATATAATCGATTTATGAAAAAAAACCGTGGTTGCCTGATGATCCGAAAATTCACCCTAAAAATTCACCGTGATAGGTACAGGGTTCTAAAGATGGATATGGAGATACTGATTCCCTGCCACACCATTACACAGCAAACGGAAAAATATAGAACTGTATAGGATGACTCCCTGTTTGAATACTAAACCTTAAAGTTTTATCAGAACTGTATTGAATCGTGCTTTGTTTTTATATTTTTCGCCTCTATACCTACGCACGACTATAGTTAAAGTCAAACTCAATGATGTCTTAAGGTACGGATTCGTTGTAACTATACCTTAACGAAAATCATTGCCAGTAAAATTCGAAAAGCTTGAGTTTCTATGTCTCTGAAGAGAATAGGAATCCGAAGTTGCTGCACCATTGGACTGAACCCTTTTTCAATAATTTCTAGACATAAATGACTGCAGCATTCAAGAGGGTCGAGTTTCTAGTAGAAGTAGAAACTTACTACCTCTCTGTTGAATATAGAAAATCAAAATAATCTATCTTGTCCCCGAGAATTATACAAAAACAGCGCAATGCAATATCGCAACGGTTTCGAATTCTCTTTACTCTACCAAGTTATAGAAACTGTAGTCTCTCTAAAGGTGGATTCATGCAAGCATGTCTTAAATTAACTTAACTTAACTTTGTACCAATCTTGTACTAATCTTTAGTAAAGATTCTTTACCCCATGAAAATGAACCGTTCATACATGTACTATTATCTTAAGGATTTTACATGCGAATTACGTTTAGTGACCAAAACCAAAAATGTTATTATTACTGCTTATCAGCGTTATTTGTTTGGCGCCAATTCGCGTAAAATTTGTTAAACAGATTGTTTAAATTTTTAACCCCTAAGTAGGTATTCTCATGGCGATTAGGTACATATAAAAATATAAAACAAACCCACAAAATACTAAATTTTCAAAAATGTAAAAACAATGAAAGTAGCTACATTAAGTCCATGTCTGACGGTGCAATTTCTCGCGGCGACTTTGTTGCGGCGACTAGTTGCAGCCAGTGTTGCCGCGCTGAATTTCTAAAATGTACTGAGCGGAAGCAATAAAATGTACTAGATTGTACTAGATTTACAATAAAGTGCAACATTGCCGTTTTTCCTTAGGGTGTTTCAAAAAAAACTAAAATTATTTTTTTTTCTAATGGTGTTGAAAAATTAATTAAAAAACAAAAATTTTGGCGCATATTTGAGCTCTTAATATTAATATTAAGGTTTGCCTCAATTCATTTGTTGTTTTTTCATTTCAATAACACGGGAATTTTTATTTTTTAAATTTTGAATTCTTATAACTTTGGAATGGTTCGTTTTCGCAACACCCAAGCGAGAGGAGTTATAGACAATTTCACGCTCTACAAAAAACATCTGAAGGTCAAAGTTCTTCAGGTCAACCGTTTCAAAGATATCAGCGATCAAAAATAACACTAATAAAAAATTTCAAATATTTTCAAATAAAATACAAAAAAATATCATATGCCATATTTATATTATTTTTTATGTAAAATCACTTTAATTCTGTTAACCTGAGACTGTAAACTTTTTTTTATATATATATGACATATTATATGTATATGCAGTGGCGTGCAGGACGGGCCCCGCAGGGCCCGCGGTGCGGGGGGGCCCCCGACGTTAGGGGGGCCCCGTTGAGAACCACATTGGGTGGTATAAGTGACAAAGGGGCCCCAGCTCAAAATTTGCGGGGGGGCCCCCGATCACCTTTGCACGCTACTGTGTATATGTATATATATATATAATATACATTGTATATATAAGTATATGTACCTTTATATAAATAAAAAAAATTGTCTATAACTCCTCTTGCTTGGGTGTTGCGAAAACAAACCTAATGATTGGCAAGTTGCCACACAAAATTCGATTTCGTTACATTCGATGCTAGTCATTAGGTTTGTTCAGGTTGCACTGGCAACGCTGCACTTCTTATGTCAATTAAACTTGACGTAAGCAATGCGATGTTGCCACACAAAATTTAATGCCGCGTTATTCAAAGTCCGGTGTCGTTTTTTTCGGTAATTCTCCTCTATTTTTTACAATGTTAAAATGTACTAGACTAAGGGACATTTGTGAGAAAATGTACTTTTGTACTGAGTTCTTCAAAATGTACTAGATTTAGTACAAATGTACTAGAACGGCAACACTGGTTGCAGCGACTTTCTCGCCTCTAGGGTGTTCACACGGTGCAACCAAACTGACGTTATTTTCTACTAGGATTGCCAACATAACCGAAAATTACTTAGTTGAAAAATAAAAATACCTAAACAAATTTAATGTTTATTTAAATTGATTTTGTTTTTCTTTTAAAGATATAAGTATTTTGTGGTGTAAAAATAAAAACACTCAGATTAAAGCACACGCAAATCACATCTGTCATTCCACAGCTGATAAATATTGAGTACCAACCAAAAAATTTAGTGAAAATTCGTAAATCCCTAAAAAAGTTACTAAGTCGCGGCGATTTTATTGCATGAAAATAGTAGGGATGCACCGGAGTTACTGCTCACCTACTGCCTCCGGCCAATAAGGCCTATGCGGCAGCATATCCGGCTCCGGCCAAATTTTTAAACTGATCCGGCAACAACGGCCGGATTGTGGCCGGATTTTTTAAATTAAAAATAAAATATTTTTTGAAATGTTTATTATAAAAAAAATATATACTCTTTTACAAGTAACAAACAATTTTTTTAGAAATAATTTAAAAATAGATTAAGGATTAAACTTCATGATTTAAGCGAACATAAGATAACGAAGTCCTTAAGTTATAGTGCAAAAATTCGAGTTGTTCACCTTTCTCGGGAAGAAATCGGCTATGCGCAGGTGATCGTATCTATGCGCACTAAGTAACAGACGCCGTACGTATGCGCAGTGGTTTTCAGATGGTTGTATTATACCTATTATAATTATTGTACCTCTGTTTTTTAATTGTTATAACTTTTAGATTAGGTATAATAATAAATATTATTTATTTATTTTTATGTTACCAATTTATTATTTTTTTAAACGTTTTATAAAGATATACTTTTTAATATATTATTGGTTTTAAAAACTTTTATTTATTGATAAATATATATGTTTTGAGTCCGTAAAACAATTCTTTTTTTGTACTAGTACGAAAAAGTTGCTATGGAAACTTGCAAAATGGTTCTTGAACCATTGCAATACAACAATTAAAAATAAAATTCGATAACTGTCACTGACAGTGACTCACTGTCACTGTCAATAACCTTAATTTCGAGAAATAGGTATTTACTCTATTTAAAAATTTGAATATATGGACCTAGAACAAAAAAATGTTGTTTGCAACATGTACCTAAAAATCATGTTTTTAGGACGAATCGTAGCTGTTTGCGGTCGAGGCGAAGCCAAAACCAGAACAGCCGATGTTACAAAAATAGCTATAATAATACGTATACGTATATTAAATAATAATTATAATAATACGTATATATATATATGTATAATTATATTACTTTTTAACTAATATAATATGTATATATACACTCGACCGCAAAATTAACCGGACACTTGATTTTTCCTTAATAAAATTTCTTAAACGCCCTGTATATTGATGTAACAACTATACACACATAAAAATATATAAGATTAATTTATTATAAAGTTTTTTAGGCTTTAAAATACGACGATGGCATTGTTTTATACATTTTTTATATCTTTAACATTTTAATTGTTTGGAAGAGCTCTTTAATTCATTACTTATTTAAAAGAGCTCTTCAATTAATTTTTATTCCTGTTTGTTTTTGGCCTTTTACGGTTTTTCTAAGTTTGTTTTAAAAGTTATTTTTATTTAAAAAATCTGTAATGACTCCCGAAGAAGCCGCTCAAGCTGTTGCACTTCACAATGATGGACGCAGCATACGTTATATTGCCAACTCACTAAATATTCCCCGAAGTACAGTGTCTGATGCAATTCAAAGGTTTAGGGAAACAGGTTCCTATTCAAGATTACCTGGACAAGGAAGACCGCGATCAACAAGTGAAGTTGAAGACCGTTTTCTTCGACTTCAAGTTCTGCGAGACCGGACACTTCCTGCTACAGCCTTGTCTAGGAGATTGGAAGATGTTCATGGTACAACCATTTCATCAGATACTGTACTAAGAAGACTGAGGGAACATAACTTAGTGCCCCATCGACCTGCCACTGGCCCACTGTTGGACGCAGCCCATCGTAGACAGCGCTTGGAATTTGCGCGAACCCATGTCGATTGGGGTATGGTTGAATGGAGTCGTGTTCTCTTTACGGATGAGTCCCGTTTCACCAGATACTCACCTGATGGTCGACAACACGTGTTTAGACGACCCGGAGAGCGATATATTCAGTGCTGCTTCTCTCCCAGAGTACAGTTTGGCGGTGGAGGTGTAATGGTTTGGGGAGGCATTTCTTTGGAGGCTCGTACGGCACTTGTAACGTTTCAAGGGGGTAGTATAAACGCTGACAGGTACATACGTACGAAGAACATGTGGTACCTTATGCACCCTTTATTGGAGACCAATTCTTCCTTATGCAGGATAATGCTCGGCCGCACACAGCCCAGGTAACGCGTCAGTACCTAGAAGTCCTGACCTGAATCCCATTGAGCATGTGTGGGATAACCTAGGGAGAAGAATTAGGCAAAACTACGGGGAGTTTCACACACTGGTTCAATTGGAAGAAGCGCTATTGGTTGAATGGGAGCAGATACCTCAGGGTGATGTGGCTGCTTTAATTCAAAGCATGCCTGAAAGGCTAAGAGCCGTCATTCGAGCTAGAGGTGGAAATACTCGCTATTAGGGCATTTTTTTGTATTTTTTCTGTTAAATAAAGTTAGTTTGTTTTATTTTTCAAAAATGTTTTTTTATAAATAATTAACAAATGTTTTTTTTAATTTTTTCTGGTTAAAAATGTTTAATAATAAGGGATTTATTAAAAATAATTAAAATTTGTTTATATTTTCTTATTTATAAAATATATTTTCCCGAAAAACAAAGTGTCCGGTTAATTTTGCGGTCGAGTGTATATACATGACAGGTACATGACAAAAACCTGGTATAAAAATAAAAAAGACAATGCGCCACCTAATAATGATTACTTATAAGGTGGGCAGGTACCTAAAATATAAACACTTTTTTTTTTTTAATACGACTAGAATGCATGCGTAAAATGCAAGGTCTGTCAATTTTTCTCCTTGTTTTAAAAGACAAATGATAATTTACTTTACATGTATTGTTGGTTGCCTGTTCGGGAACAGGATCCCCACATACAACATCAACACGTAATTGGTAACTAAGTGCAAGATTTGCATAATACTGAAACAGAAACTGCAACTGCCTGTGTAAAAACACTGTAAGATCCGGCCGACTCCGGCGAAATCCGCCAAAATCCGGCCGGAGTTAATCCGGCCGGAGTTAATCCGGCCGATGACGCCGGATTACTGCATCCGGTAATCCGGCCAAAATCAAATCCGGTGCATCCCTAGAAAATAGAACATGTTCTATTTTGAGACAGGTTAGATCAGCTGATTAGTTGCATCATGTGACCACCAAAAAATCGCGGCGACCTAGTCGCCGCAACAAAATCGCCGCGAGAAGTTGCACCGTCAGACATGGACTTAAAGTCCATGTCTGACGGTGCAACTTGACTATGAAGTTGGCTACATTACCAGTACATGCGCATTTGCCTATTTTTATTAAGAACTTAGGACATAAGGATCTTAAAGATAAAAGTAAACCAACTTTTCTTAGGATAAGGATTCAAATTAAGTTAGGTTAAGACGAATTTAAATTGCATGAACGGTTCCGCTCATTATTACAGTTTTATCTCTTTAAGATAAGGAGTACTTATTAAGGACAAAGACTAAGTTAGTATTAAGACATGCTTGCATGAATCCACGGTAATACTGTTCTAGTCAATATTTCTGAGTGTATAAAAAGAGGGTGTAATTCAATATTACAAGAACTTTTGATCTTTTGATGGATGCAAGTAGTTTGAATATTCTCATTTCTGAATATGATTTTGTTGAAAATAGTTCCTTTCTTTGGTTCCTTTGTTTGATTCTTATTTACCATAACAGGTATGTAAAGCACAGAGGATATGATGTAAAGTATATTTTTGTATTATATAAAGTACCTATATGTATTTGTATTAAAAATTTCAGAGGTTATGTTGAAAAAATGATCGATATGCTATTAAACTTTAATAATTTAAGATGAGGTCTGTTGTTAGACCCTGCACAGCTCCACTGGTAGTTTTATGTTTAGTACAGCAATATTTAAATCTGGTTGATCAAAAAGTACACACCAGTGCTGCAATAACCTGCAGCAGGTTAGTGTAGCATCTATAAACAAATGAATTAATGGCCCATTGGCAATTATTCCTTTATTGAAAATATTCAACACAGCTTAATTAATAAAATGAAAAAAATCACAATCATGTCGTATATAGTTTTTTTGTTCAAGCATAAAATAATTTTCATATTAGGTAATACCTACTAGTCAAAAGTCAAATTACTGTGGAGAGTATTGAAACGCTCGACTGACGAATACAACTCTATACCGTGGCGAGGGTTTAGAAAACTGTATTCAAACGTGGCGTCATCCAATACACTTCTGTATTTTTCCGTTTCCTGTGTATAAAAATATAGTTTGGTTTTATAAACTTGGCATAAGTACAGTACTGGATGTCGAATGATTAAACTCACAGATTATACAACTTAAACTATTAGTGGTGGTGGACACAAACCAAATTTTTGTTTGTAGTTTGTATTACAATTAAAATAAACCCTTAAGCTTATTACCTTAGTGCGCCTTTTTCATGATACCCTATATACCTACATAGAAAAATAAAAAAGTCAGTATGGTTTTTTAACAAATTTAAAGAATCTCTTGTCAGTTTTTCTTAAATTATAATAAAAATGGAATATTATATAGAAAAAATGTATTTCAGTTTTTATTTGTGGCCAACATTTTGATGATGATTGCTTTAATATTAAAGTTGATAATACAAGGACATTAAAAAATGATGCCATCCCCAGCATATTTTTTCCTCATTTACACAACCAAACAAATATGGATACAAACTTCTGCGTAAAAATGCACGACAATACTAAAATTTCTGAAAATAAAGATTTTATAAATAATGTTTCCACAGTAGAGGAGAGCAAAGTAGATTTGGAAAAATACAAAAAATTAACAAAAATAAAGTTAAAAACCCTAGAAATGGCAAAAAAATCATATGAGGATTCATTACATAAAATACAAAACAAAAACATTTATTTAAACAACAAAATAAAAAAACTACGGCATGATAAAATACTTCTAAACAACTCCCAGATGACCCAAATTGAAGAAAAACAATTATTACAAAAAGTATTTACAAAATCACAAATTAAAGTTCTTGAAACTGGCATTGCCAAGACTCGATGGACTGATCAGGATATGGCTATAGGATACATGATAAAACAGCTTGGAAATAAAAATTCCTATCAATATTTGAACAAAAACTTAAAAATTCCTTTACCCGGTGTTTCCAGCATACACCATTGGATGTATGAAGGCTTAAAATTGCAAAAAAAACAATCTCACAATGATGGAGCAAGTAGCTCTAATGGTTGATATTGATATTTTTATTTTTGTATAATAGAAAAGAATAAAATTATCATATTTGAAATAATTTTGTATCTTTATCCTACCTTATAAGATATTTGACCTATTTGATCAATAAGTTATACGCATATAAAAAATATGTTACTCTCGAAAATACATGTATTTTCTACAGCGTTCCTTTTACAGTTTTCATTAATAAACATGTTTCAAACTTCGCAAAGTTTGCAAGGGGCCGTCCATAAATATCGTGACGCTTAAACGCACACGTGTGGTCGATTTCACACGCATATGAGTAGCATAGCCGTGCGCGCCCACGCGATGAGCGCACGACGTGATCAATGATCTCTTACACTGTGCTTATCGGCAGTGATGCCAGATTCTATAAAAAAACAGTAATTTCGTTTTTATTCACCCTATAATTACAAAAATGATCAATAATAATGAAATAACGTAAAATTGCAATTTGCATTGTTTCACTAGGTAAGTTCAATTAAGATGACATGCATCAACTGATTTATATATAATATATATATATATATATATATATATATATATATATATATATATATAGGGTGGCCCAAAAAAAAAGAATATTTTTTTTCTCTTGTCTCTTGTGAAAATATGTTGGTTTGTCATGTTTTAAGAGCCCTGTCAAAAGATCAGCTTCATTAAAAAAATTTTAGGGGTCGCTCAAGATTTTTAAAAATTTCCAAAATCGTCAAAAATTGGATTTTTTTTTTATTTTAATTTTTTTTTCGTTCCGATATTATTTTTTAATTTAAAAATAATAATGATTCTGAAAATTTCAAATCGATATTTTGATTTCTAAAGGTCGCTCAAGATTTTTTTAACTTTCAAAGTAAAGTATTTTGAATGTTTTTGAGCGACCTCTGAATATAAATATCAACGAACTTTTAGCGACCTTTAGAAACCAAAATATTGATATGAAATTTACAGAATTTTTATTATTTTCAACCAAAAAAATAATATCGAGACGAGAAAAAAAATTAAAATAAAACAAAAATTAAATTTTTGACGATTTTGAAATTTTTAAAAAATCTTGAGCGACCCCTAAAATTTTTTTAATCGAGCTGGTATTTTGACAGGGCTCTTACAGCATGATAAACTAACATATTTTTACAAGAGACGAGTAAAAAAAATATTCTTTTTTTTGGGCCACCCTGATATATATATATATATATATATATATATATATATATATGTATATGTTATGGCTATTGTGCAAACTTGGATAGTTTATAAACTAGCTGGATAGTTTATAAACTAGCCAAACTGTCAGCTATTTTAATTGAAAACATATTTTCAACTAAATTAGCGGCTAGTTTACAAAATAACCAAGGATCTTGGCTAATTTACTTGAAATTATTAGGGAAACTAAAATAGCTGGATAGTTTGTATACTATCCAATTCAGTTTGGCTAATATGAAAACCAAAATTTCTAGTAACACAAAATAGCCAAGCTTTAGCTAGTTTGTAAACTAACCAACCAATTATCTGGCTAATTTATTAAAAAAGTGAGGTTACGGCATTGCTTTTCGTTTTGCCGGCTTAACACGATTAGTTTTTTGCATTTTAACGTTTTTAAAATGAATCATAGGCAAAATATTTAACGCTTCCTTGTTAGAAAACTCAACAACACAACCCTACCGACCCCGCCCCATTGGACCCCCCCCGCCCCATTGGTCAAATGGTCAAAAATGAGAGAAAAAACCCAAACCAACCCAAACTCAACAACACAACCCAATCCACCCCGCCACATTGCCCCCCCGCCCCATTGAGCAAAAAACCCAACTAAAATGGGCAATAGCCAGAGAATTAGTTGGTTAGTTTACAAACTAGCTAAAGCTTGGCTATTGTGTGTTACTAGAAATTTTGGTTTTCATATTAGCCAACCCTTGCGGCCTTGAGTTTACGGTGAATTCACCGTTTGCGTGAATTCACCGTGAATACACCGTTTATGTGCAGTGAATATACCGTCCATTTGTGACATTTGTAGACGGTAATTAAACGGTGAACTCACGCTGTTTTTGCGATAAATTCACGGTGATTTCACGGTAAATTCACGGTGAACTCAATACATCTCACGGCTGCTTACGCAAGCGAGCTAACTATAAATAGCGTTGGGTTGCAATATTTAGTTGGAAGTGTGCGTCTGTAATGGCATAGCTGAACATTAATCCTCATCTGCTCAGTAACGAATAATGGCTAGCTATAGTCGTGTTAAACCTATAGGATATACCTACCCTTGCGGCCTTTTAGTTCACGGTTTATTCACCGTGAATTCACTGTGAATTCACCGTGAATATACCGCCAAAATACGGTGAATTCACAATTAAAATACTGTGAAAAGTGCGTGAATTCACCGTCTAACTACCGTGTACAAATGTCACAAACAGACGGTTTATTCACGGTGAGTTTACGGTGAATTCACCGTGAATTCACGGTGAATTGACAGTGAATTCACGGTGAATAAACCGTGAACTCAAGGCCGCAAGGGAAATTGAATTGGATAGTATACAAACTATCCAGCTATTTTAGTTTCCCTAATAATTTCAAGTAAATTAGCCAATTGTTTACGTGATCATAAGCTGATTTGATGTCAATAAATGTTGCTAGGATACTCTCATTTCTGCTGAATGCCAGGTGGATATTTGAAGTCAAGAAAACCAGGTTTTCAATGACGCCCATTCCCTTACGGAAACCTGTTTGTAAATTAGACCAGACTTTTGTGTTTTCAAAATGCCATTCCAGCCGGTTTTTTAGGATGTTCTCCAGGGATTTTAAAAATATTGACGATAGTACTATTGGTCTGTAATTGTTTACAACGTTGGGGATTTTATTGGGTTTTAATAAAGCTATGATCATGTAGTCCCGCCACTGATCAGGAATGGATTGCTCGCTCAAACACTTATTAAATATATTGGACAAGATGGTAAATGCCTTTTTAGGGAAGTTTTTAATAATTAGGTAGGAGATCTCATCAATTCCAGTAGCAGAGTTCTTTTTGTTTTTTACATTGGCTTTTAGTTCGACTGTGTTTATTGGTGGTATGCATCCGTCAGCCGACATCAGCCGCATGTTTGGATCCAAGTTACTAATGTCTAGTTTGTCTAAAATAAGTGGGGCAATTGTTTTGTCAGGAAGTAGTGATTTATATGATCTAGAGTTATTATTTGAGAATTTTTTTATTTTATTCCATATGTAAGTCATACTGGATTCTCTATTTCAGGATTCGCAGAAAGTTTTGAATTTATCTTTTTTTTTCTTTTTTTAGTATTTTTCTGGTAATGGCTATTTGTTTTTTGGTGTTTAAATAGTTCTCAAGACTTGGCTCCTCATTAAATTTTTTTAACGCTTTTTTCCTATCTACTAATGTCGACTGACAGGTTGCATCCCACCAAGGGACACTGGCTTTGTGAGTTTTTATTAAGTGAGTCTGTCTAGGGATTAATGTTTCTGCTATCTTGTTTATTTTATTAAAGAAAATGGTAAAATCGTTACCTGTTTCTGGAATTGATGAGATTTCTGAGTCCAATTCCGCAGAGAATTCATCCCAGTTTGTCTTGTTAAAGTTCCTTTTAGGATTTATATTGTAACTATATGTGGGTTCCAAATTCTCTCCGGAAATTGTAACGAGGGTTGGGAAATGGTCGCTAAATCCACTATCTGGGATGCGTTCCCAGTGAGACTTGAGTGCCATTTCAGCTGAAATGATAGAAATATCAATAGGATTGCAATTACTATTTGGGTTTCTTAGTCTAGTATCACTGCCGTCGTTCAAAACGCAGAGATTGTGTTCTTCTATTAGTCCCGATATAATTTTGCCGTTGTATACAAGTATATACTATATACAGTATATATACTATAGTTACTATTAATTCCCCCCCATAGATTATGGTGGGCATTAAAGTCACCCATGATTAAAATGTGTCATGTCATGTTTCTGAGAATGTCATTTAAAACCGATTTATTCAATTTAGTATTGGGAGGGCAGTAAGCTCCAACTATATTTAGATTATTAATTTTAATTGTGATATATTGAAACTTGTTAAGGTTGTTAATTAATGGATTAATTTTTTGGAATTCTATATTATTTTTTATTAGTATTGCCACTCCACCATAGCCGTCTGTTCTGTCTGATCTTAGTACTTCGTAGCCTGTAATACTAAATGAATAACTCGGTTTAAGCCACGTCTCGTTTAGGGTAATTATGTCTGGGTTAATTTCTCTCACTAGTTGTATTAGGTTGTGTTTGTTTGAGTTAATACTGCGGATGTTCCATTGGAGTACTTTCATGAACGAGAGGATTAAAACATTTCATTGTCTGAGTTCCCAGACAATGAGTTATTTTTATCTGCGTTTTTATGCAAGTTTGTTAGTGAGATAGTGTTTATAGTTTTTTCCTGGGAAGTATATATTTTCTCGATTTTTATGTAAGAATGTCATATTCTCGCACGCAAAATCGTTGAAGAATGAAGCTCATTCTTAAACGATTTTTGGTAACATTTAGTTTTTAAGTATTGGTACCCCCAAAATGTCAAACTGATTAATAACCTCAAATTCATTACTTTTATTGAAAATGAAGCCTTTATTATTGTTTTGTAATATAAAGTTTGCTCCAACAATGCATTTTAATGCAAAATTTTAAGTTTAATGTGTAAAAGTGCAGTTCAGGTTGTACTTGTGCAGGATAACAAATATTGTCATTTTGTGTTGCCAACTGACATTTTGCGAGAAAAATCCCCCAACTAACAACGACCACAAAACAATTAAAAAAACCTAAATAAAAGTTAAAATCGAGAAAATAGTATAAATCACACGTTGCAGAAGGCTATTCTCGCACTCATTCGTTCGTCCACTCGCTCCTTCGTCGCTCGAGGCCAAATTTCGAATTCGTGCGAGAATATGTGGCCTTCTGCAACTTGTACTTTAATATACTATTTTCAAAAGTATTAAAGTCTTTAATGGGGCTATCTAAGGATTTAGATTGGCCAGGTGTGTTGTTAGTGAGGGGGGATGTTGGAGAGTCCAGTGTTCTCCCATTTGGGGAGTTTAAACAAGATTCATATGAGGATCTATCAAATCCCTCACTGTTGAGTGATTGTTTTCTTTTTTTTTTTTTTAAATGGGGATGATTTTGTGGGTTTTTGTTAACTTGGGAGCTTGTTGTTTGGAATCTAAATCTAGGAAGACTGGGAAAGTCCAGAGGGTGAGCCCTGAACTCAGGAGTTGGGAGATAGGATTTGGGGCACTTTTCCGATGCATCAAAGTATGATAAATTTTCATATGCCATTTTTTTTTTAATTTCTTTTTGTCTGACAAATTCTGGGCATGATTTGCTTGTCGTTATGTGTTTGTTACTGTGGCAGTGATGACATTTGATGATACATTCCAACTCAGCTTCATGAATTCGGCTGCATTTACTGCATTTTTTTTTACCTTTACAGTTTTTTTTTTGTGTGCCCATATAGTAGGCAGTTGTAACATTGAGTAACTGGGGATATATATGGGTTTATCCTTATCCCCAGGTTATATATAGAAATCGATTTAGGTAATATGGTCCCTTCGAAGGTGAAGAGGACTGAAAGTGATGGTTCATAAGCAAAAATTGGCTTACCTAAATCGTCCAATTTGTCCGTTTTTACCCTTCTATTTAGCCTTTTAACTTGTGTTACTTTAAAAGAAGAGGTTATTGCACTGGCCAGTTCCTGTTCGGTAATGTCTTTATCAATATTGATTGCTACCCCTTTACATGTGACCCTGTTGTAAGGAATGTATATATTATATCTGTTAAGATCTGTATTTTTATTGAGTAGCTTCGATCGCTAGAAATGTGGTGAAGATGGAATGTTTTTTGAGAAAATGATAAATATAAAAGTTGTGGGTACATCTTAAATATATATATATATAAAAGTGTTTAGAGAAATCAGTGACTTAAATTTTTACTGTAAGTATACTTATACAATAATAGTTTTATACAATTTTTGAATAAAATCCTTTAATTGGCGAAGTTTTATCTACAAAAATAATTACAATTCATGACAAGTAATTATCGTTCAAAATTAATTTTTAATTAAAATTCCAATGTTAACATTACAAATGTCTTTATGTGAGAGATTTAAAAAATATATGTTCTTTATTAAAAATGTAACATAACACCTTTATCCACACATCTTCATTTGTAACATTACACCTAACAAATGTATACATTCTATAGAACATCAATGTACATCGTTTGCAATAATTATCTATATAAATACCTATTACTTTATCCAGAGGGTAATGTACCTAATTTAGTCAAGAATTCTTGTTTGATTTCTTGCAATTTTAAGTCCACTGTAAGGGGAAAATATTATAATAATAAATGAAATATCATTGTATTGTTAAGTATATTATAAAAATAACAAATAAACTGCAACTAAAATATACATTTTCTTAGTTTTATTACAGAAAATTACCTTTGTTAAAAAGTTTTTAGTTACATAATTAAAATTATTTACATTTACAAAATATTTTGAATGAAATATTCATTTTTGATTTAGGTATAATAAAACTGATAAATATATATCTTAGATCTAAAAAGGCACTTAAATTATCACTTTTATTATTTCTAAAGACTTTGAGCCACAGCCTTATATAAGACCTTGGTCTGAGTGTTTTCTGTCTTAAAACTAACCAACTATAAATTTAACTTAAATTATACCAATTGAATATACTGGTAACTTTGTACTATAAAAATAAGTTTTTCTTACAATTAATATTGAACATATTCATGAAATTTTATCTTGAGTTGTACTCTAAATAATTCACAAAATAGGTGGGATAGTATTCATTGTCAAAGTACTTAACATAAGTAGCTCCATTTAGGCTTTTTACAGTATCAAATCCAATATCAGGCAAAAATATGTCTGGTCCACCAGTCTGAACATTCTGAATTAAGACATCAACAACAAACATTGACCTAAAATGACTTTGTTCTTTCCAGGAATGTTTATTTGCCAAGTAAGGAGAGTCAGAGAAGTACACCCCAGGTCCATACTTAAATCGTCTACCAAGTCTCCAGTCAAAATTGTAGCAGGCTATTGACTCCACATTTACTTGATCTGTATCATGGAAGAGCTTTTTCACTGTAAATGGTCCACGTGTTGTGTATTCATGCAATTTTAATGTATATTTGGCGTGTAAACATGGGTTTTGTAACTTGAATATGCCTTGAATAACTTTGTAATAATTTCCTTTTATAAACTGGTAGATTTCATCAAATTCAGTTGTGTATGGTTCAAGTGGAAAAATTTGATATTTTTGTGAAAAATCCATTGGAAACCAATTCTCTGGCAAATTTGCGGCCAAGTCGTTGTATATCATGCTAAAATAAAATATTTTCTGTATAATAATATATTGAATGATTGAAACAAGATTTAAACTTACTCGAGTCGGTAAACTTCAAAAATATGTGTGATTTTTTATGTTTCACAGATGTATCTAGAATCCACAGGTAATTTTTTAAATTTTGTTTCTTTTCTATATAGACAAAACAACAACACATGTTTGACAGATGCGCACAACGTTGCCAAACTTGACCTTTGGAAAATACCAGATATTTATTTAACAAAAATTCGATGTATTAAAATCTGACATATTTCCCATGATTTAAATTACACATGTCAAATGACGTATAAAATGAACTTCAAGGTCAGAGAAATTTATTTAAAATTAAGTAACAAACAAGCAAGTCGCATAGATACGTGTTGCTTATAATATATAATTTATTAAAATGGCTTTAAATAATATTTTAAGAAATACCCTCCAAGGTTTTAGTAAAATTAGTTACAAATCTAGCGCAAGAGTGTTTTCTACCAGTATACCCCAATTAAATAAAAAGGAGTAAGTTAAAAAAATAAACATTTTAGGAGGTTTTCATGGTTATTTTTTAAGGGTTGAAATAACTTTTGTCCGAGCCAGTGGGGAACGTATAAAAACAAAAGGCAAAGTTGGTGATTCTCTTCTAGATGTAGTGGTTAACAATGACGTAGATTTAGATGGTTTTGGTGCTTGTGAGGGAACCCTGACATGTTCAACGTGTCACCTAATATTTTCAAAGAAGGTGTTTGATTCTTTGCCAGAAAAAGCAACAGATGAAGAGCTAGATATGCTGGATTTGGCTTATGAATTAAAAGATACCTCCAGATTGGGGTGCCAAATTATTTTATCTGAAAAACTGGATGGCCTGGAAGTAAAAGTACCTGCTACTATTAATGACCAAAGATCATCGTAATATTTTAAATGTTTATATTTAATTTCAGCAATTCTCAAGTATTTAAACTGGCTAAAATTGAAATTATCTATTGATAAGAAACATTTTAATAATACTTTTCTGTTCATATCTATTTTATAAAGGTATGGAGATGAAAAAATGTTTTTAATAAATAAAACAAATTGTTTTGTTTGGTTAACTTATTTTTATTTTTTCTTAATTATTACTTACAGATTATCACAAAAAATATTTTAAATACCTGGGATTAAATTTAGCCAAAATACACTTTGAACAAATATTAATAGATGGTTTTTCAACACAATTTCATCAAAAAATTTCTTTTGTCCTTTTGCATTTGTCTGTTTAATTTGTTGGAATTTTTCCAAGTTTGTTTTAATTTAATGATTTAACAAAGAATTCTTGTGATTCCAGGGTTAGGTATTTTGTATGTAGTTTTAACACAATTTTGTAATTTTCCTGTTAATATTAAAACCGTTCTTGAAACTTATAAAGTACCTAATTAACCAATCAATATATGGCATTTTCTGCCAAAGACTAGTAGAATATGCCAAAGAATGCCGCGTTATGATTAAATAATTGTTCTCTATATAAAATGTTTGTTATATTTGCAAGTTTGTTTTGTATAGAAAGCAATTAACCAATCAGACCTCAGATTCTCTGCCACTCGGAGAATGCTGAGCTCATTGGTAGAAAGCAAATTTGATAATTACAGGACACACTCCCCAGCTAAGATATTCACAGTATTGTTACCACCAGTGGCGGCTGGTGGATTTTGGGCACACCCATATCTCAGTTATTAGACATGGGACCCACATCAAATTTATATCAGTTTAATCAGACAAGTTCTGCGCAAGCAGAATTTAAATTGAAGTTTGCGAAAAAAAGTTAAAAACTAACTTTTTTTCGCAAACTTCAATTTAAATTCTGCTTGCGCAGAACTTGTAATATCTGAGATATGGGTGTGCCCAAAATTCACCAGCCACCACTGGTTACCACTGTATTTATCATCACCACCCCAATAGGCTTTAAAAAAATAATTTTCATGTAAAAAGTAACAAAACATAAGTAAAAAATTATAAATTTACACATGTAATGCTGGAATCACACACTTATGTTACGAAGTTAAATTTTTAGCAGTTATACCATTTCCGATTACAATTTCGAAAAAATACGCCCAATTTCAAAACCCCTCGTTCCAGTTTATACAAATAATTATGTACAACAATTTGCACCAAAAAACACTTAATTCTAATAAACCGATTTACTGTGTTCCATGTTCAAATATAAATTACAGTTCTTAGTCAATTTATTACCCTCACAAATTTTCTTTAACTTTGGGAATTTGTAAAGTAGTCCATGCATTTTTGAGCAACAAAAGTGATTTTATGAAAATAATTGCTTTATCAGGACGACATTTTTACGATAAAATTCAGATTAAAATAATTACCTAGTTAATAATAATATTATGTTATTATTTTTTACAAAAACTTTTGGGTATTTTGGCAATAAAACTTGGATTCCAACAGTTTTATTTCAAAAATAAGTTTTAGTATGTAAGAAGTATTAAGTATTTTGTGTAATTTTTTTAACTTGCTTTTATTTCAATTTTATCATAAAAATGTGCAGTCCTAAAAAGCGTTTATAACGCGAATCTATTTATAAAATCACTTCTATAGTTCAAAAACACATTTCTTTAAGGAGATTTCAACTATTTTACAAAACTAAAGTCTAATAAATTGGCCAGTATAATATATATATTCACTAAAAAACGAAGATGTGCAATTTTAACAGGAAAACTGAAAATCGAATTAAATATAGACTTCAAACAAAAGATATAAAAAAACAATTTTACAATAATTGATCTACTATTGAATTAATGTTTTTTAGTAGATCTAGATCAAGTAAAAGAACATAGATTTTTGCAATCGAAAGCAAGCATGTACTTCTAGTTAAGGATAAATATAATAATTGTAACTTGTTTACATCATTGAAGAGTCGCTGGGTGATCTTGTTCGAGTTGAACCCGAACTCCCTCCGCTGCTGCTTGTCGTGTCAGAGGAACTGCTACTCGAACTAGAAAATAACGTATTTAAATGCGTCGCCGGCCTGTACAGTTGTCTTATATTCCAAAGGTTCTCTCCTGAAATCATACATTTTTTTTAAATTGACAACTTTTACAGGTCAGTCAAGTTGCCCCCCCCCAATCGTGCAAATCAAAATTTTGCACACATTTTGCACACCCCTTCTTAAATTTTGTACACACCCGCTTTGGAAATCCTCTAAATTTGCACACCTCATTTTAAATTTTCCACACCCTACCATCCATCCCCAGGGCATTCCAAAAAATTACTTACTACCCCCACTGACAAAATTCACTTTGTTTTTATGCCTGATTCTCCAATTTTGCACACCTCATTTCAAATTTTAAACCATTTTCAAATCTAGCCTACCCCCCACATTAACGTCCTCGTCCACTGTGTTCCGAAAATTTTATCCATCTCTCTCCTCGCCACTGCCAAAATTATGTTAGGTATATCTAGTCATCTAAATTTGCAAAATAGTGGAAACCAAAATTAAAAAAAGGAAAAGTATTCAAAGGCCATTTATTTTTTTATTAAAATACTAGTACAATACAAACAGAGAAATACAAAAAAAAATGTGGAAACAAAACAAGTATTCAACTAAATTTTATATGTCTTTTTAGTGATTCCTTGTTTTACTATGTACAATACAATACAATAATTCGGCAATTTTACTATGGGCTGCCATATTTTGTACTAGATCCTTGAAAGTAAAACACACAGAAGCAGCAAATCATTACTTGAAGTAATGAATCAAAAGCACAGGTGTTCGACAGAGTCACTGATACGTCCTTTATGGGGTGTAAATTGATTAAGTGGGCATTTTTCAGCAAAGGAACATTTCTTAAGTTGGAGTAGTCCGCTTCTAAAAGTTCGGAGTGAGGTCCCAGATAAGAAGTTCTAAGACGTTTTGGATTAGTTAGACCTCGCCATTTTTCGACTGAAGCTTGTTCCAGTTTTGAACATCTTACACAAAAGATTTGTCCGTCAGTTTTTGTACTACCTAATGGATTTCTGTCTACTTCTTCCTTACAATTAATAAAGAATGCATACCAAGTGGATTTTGTCAGTGGGGGGCTAATAAGTAACTTTTTGGGATGCTGTGGGTGTGCAAAAGTGAATTTCTTCAGTGGGGGGGTCTAGAAAGAAATCACACCGTGAGGAATAAAGTAGGGGTTGCACAATTTTGCACTCTTTATTTCAAATTTTGCAAAATTAGGAGATTATGATGACGAAAAGTAGAGTTTTTTGGAGCGAAGGGGGGGGCAAGCGTCGTTTACCCCCCCACATGATTTTTCTTGCCATTTCCAAAGCGTGTGCAAAATTTAAGAAGGGGTGTGCAAAATTTTAAAGTATAATAGAGGGGGTTTGCACGATTGGGGGGAAACTTTTACAGGATTTATGAAAATCATGAGTAAAAACACAGGGGGTTATTTCTAGAAATGTTCACATAAACTTTCCGTTTTATAAGTAATGTAAATTAACACAATAGAACAACAATTTTAGTGGCACATTGTATTAAGTTAATTTTAGAATATTTTTTTTTTAATGTTTTTAAAAGAAAAAAATTAAAAAAGTATGACACCACTGGAAAACAAACCCGAGCCTACACTTTAAATAGTATATACATTTAATAGTATACACAGCAAACGAAAAATTATAGAGGTGTATAGGATGACGCCACGTTTGAATATCGTTTTCTAAATCTCCCTACGGTATAGAGTTGTATTCGTCAGTCGAGCGTTTCAATACTCTCCACAGTATAGAGGTCGTAATTTCACTTTTGAACTAGTATTAATATAAAAATGATTTTATGCTTAAAAAAACTATATACGACATGATTGTGATTTTTTTCATTTTATTAATTAATTAAGCTGTGTTGAATATTTTTCCTAAAGGAATAATTGCCAATGGGCCATTAATTCATTTGTTCGTAGATGCTACAATAACCTGCACTGCTATGTACTTTTTAATCAACCAGATTTAAATATTGCTGAACTAACATAAAACTACCAGTGGAGATGTGCAGGGTCTACCAACAGACCTAATTACTAAATTAATAAAGTTTAATAGCATATCGATCATTTTTTCAACATAACCTCTGAAATTTTTAATACAAATATAGGTACTTTATATAATACATAAATATACTTAACATCATATCATCTGTGCTTTACATACCTGAGTTGTTACGGTAACTAAAAATCAGACAAAGGAACCAAAGAAAGGAACTATTTTCAACAAAATCATATGCAGAAAGGAGAAAATTCAAACTACTTGCATCCATCAAAAGATCAAAACTTCTTGCAATATTACACCCTCTTTTTATACTCTTAGAAATATTGACTAGAACAGTATTAGAGAGACTCCAGTTTCTATAACTTGGTAGAGTAAAGAGAAGTCGAAACCGTTGCGATATTGCATTGCGCTGTTTTTGTATAATTCTCGGGGACATTAACGAAAATCATTGCCAGTAAAATTCGAAAAGCTTGAGTTTCTATGTCTCTGAGGAGAATAGGAATCCGAAGTTGCTGCACCATTGGACTGAACCCTTTTTTAATAATTTCTAGAGACATAAATGACTGCATCATTCGACAGGGTCGAGTTTCTACCTCTCTGTTGAATATAGAAAATCAAAATAATGTATCTTGTAAGACACCATTGAGTTTGACTTTAAATATAGTCGTGCATAGGTATAGAGCCGAAAAATATAAAAACAAAGCACGATTCAATACAGTTATGATAAAACTTTAAGATTTGATATTCAAACGCGGAGTCATCCTATACACTTCTATAATTTTCCGTTTGCTGTGTATTATTATACGAGAGATAATGGGCTATTATTCACGAGGTTTGCGTCTCGAGTCGCCAGACGAGATACTTAAATCATCCAAGTGAATAATGCGCATAATCGAGTGTAATACTATACTTTATCTACTTCAATAAGTAGATAATTACATGATTTTCAAAAATACATAAATAAAATCTTACATCTGTCAAATATTTAACTTCACATGTTTACCAATTTTAAGTGTTAATAACGTCGCCTTCTTCCAATTTCACATCACAGTGAATATTGAAATCGGCCAATCACTGATGCCTAACAACGTAAATAATGAGTTCATTATTCACTTTGTTAGCAGGGTTATCAGATTTTGTAAAAAAAAATCGGGACATTTATCTTAATTACAAAATTGACATAATGATACAATGTAAATTGTAAGTTTGACGTTACTTAATTATTGTTAATTGTGTCATTTTTGTAATTAATGTTAATTCACACAAAATGTCCCGATTTTTTTTTGACAAAATCTGGTAACCCTGGTTTTTAGGCAGGGAATTTATAATGTTTATCATTATTCACGAAAAAAAACCCAATATTATGCAATAGGAGTAGATAAATGTTTTATATTAAACTATTATTCAGGTTTTATAAGTAGCTCAGGCGGATTTGGTTAGTGCATCTAGCACAATTTTATGGTAAAGACGGCGTGGCAGTAGTCACTTTCTTGTTTTATCGGGTTTTGAAATAATGCCTAACCACCTTAAGTTGTACCGTACAATGGGGGGGACAGTTTTAAGGAAAATCTAAGAAAATGTGTTATGTAACTGAATACTTAAGTATTATAATTGTTATGAATATAAGTATAAGAGTCGTATAAGTGTCCCCATTGCCTCATCTCTCCCGAGCCCCGCACAAGCTTTCGTTACTCTACGTCGATTTTTTTTCCGCCACCAGCAACTGCACGGCTTGGTGAAAATGTCAACCGCGTCCGGTACTATACCCTATTTGGGTCTTGAGAGCGACATGCGAAAAATTTGAATAGGGGACATCCATTAATTACGCGAGGCATTTTTCTGATAATTTGGACCCCGCTCCACCTTGGTAAGATTTGGTGAGATGTGGTAGACCAACCCCTATCCCTCACGTGAGATTCTAGCCATTAAACTTTTTTGCGGAAAGATTAAAAAACCTCTAAAAAGTAAAACAAAATAATTTTTTGAACAAATTAGAATTATAATACATACAGGGTGTCCCAGAACTCGCGCCACAGAGAAAAAGGGAAACACATATTTGAAAATTAAAATTGTCTAACGCAAAGGATAAGCGAGATAAGAATAAAAAACAATAGCCAATCCCAATAGATGACCCATGGAGCCTACACAATGAGTCCGAACTGCATGTAAACAAGAATCTTCCTAAGTTAAGTAGGCGCTGGTGTCCCGTTTATTCTGAAACAATTGACTAATTTGTACCGAAACGCTACCAAAAGAGCAGACGTCAGGACGCATCAACAATCAGCGCCGCTGGTGGTGAAAAAAAAAGACTTAATTTGTGCAATTTAGAGGGCAGGTTTTGTCAATTTTCCCTATTAAGTTCGGGCTCCTTGTGTAGGCTCCATGAGATGACCATAGGGAATTCTTTAAATTGCTGGGATACTTAGGTTACATTGTTGACAATACAATTCATTATAATTAGAACCAATAAAATGCCAGTATTCCATACTTACGCATTTTATCACAGCGACAATATTTTTTATCACCTTGTTTACACGTTGCTAAGGATTTTGGCACTTTTCTTGATTTGACATTTGTTGACATTTAAATACTGTGTTTGTTAAATGATTAAAATAATGAATAATAAACTCTAAAAGATCGATGGGTTGGTGTAAACGATAATAAAATTAAGGTAAGTTTGAATAAATAAGGTTTATTAAAGTCTTTTTATATTTTAAAGCACATTTTAATTTCAAATGTCAAACTGACAATTCGTTAAATCCTAAAATTCATTATATTTTCTCACTAAATATAACTCGTGGTATAGGTACCTATAGGTATGATTAATTATCGATGATATTTACTCATTGAAACCGAGCTGCAGATTTCAAGAGTCCGCAGGACGGGTGAAATGTGCTGCTTCAATTCGAAAATATCATCGATGATAATCATACTTGTTATATTATGGGTAATAATAAAAAATATGTAAAATATTTGGTCCACTGGAATCCAATTCATTGTGACACTGCTGTCAATCTTTACTTCTGTCATTAATATTATA